GCACACAACACACACACACACAAGCACACACACACTCTCTCTCTCTGCTAACAAATACTAGCGTTTTCTCATTTTCATTTGGGCTTTTTGAAAGGACACAGTAAAAGGAGCTGCAGCCGGTTGAGTGGTTTATTGTACTTGATTTTACTTTTTGGCTTGCTGGCGTTGGAGGGAGCAGGGTGGGGGAGGTGGGGAGGGGGGGGGCAGTTGACAAAGCCGCTCTGGTTTCATCCCGCAGGGGTGTCACTCTGTGGGTGGCTGGCCTGAAGTTCACCAGAATAGCCTCACTAGGATGGAATTTCAGGTCGAAGTAAGTGGAGTGAGATCTTAAAGCGGAGCTGCTGGCGGGCCGCCGGGAGGGCGCCGCTCCATCAGGAGAGGAACGCTGAGGCGAGGCCTCTCTACTTGCGTTTACTGGACTTTATCTTACACCAGGAAAATATTAGCATTGATCCAAGTAGGCTGCGCGTGATGATGGGGATGCTGCTGGACCTTCTGACCTTGTTCACCTCGCTACCTGGGTGGGTTGGGTATCCATGAAGGTTATAATTCAAGGGAGGTGTGGAAGCGTCACATCAGCCAGATCCAAAGGTGGTAGTACGGTGGATATGATTAGTATGATTGAGTGTAGTATTAGTGAGTATTATTTATTATTATTCAGTATTAGTAATTATTATTAGTTCATTAGTAGTATAGTAATATGAGTATTAGTTAATCATTGGTTAGTATAGGTTAGTGATTAGTACTGTAACAGCTACTTCATTAGGTCACAATTAGCTTAGTAGGAGGCAGTACGTTGCCTTTCATATTTTCTACGTCGACAGTGCGGAGTGAAACTGAAATCAGAACTTAATAGTTTCAATGAAACTAGATAATATCAGTGTTATTAACAGTTAGTGCTATTAGTTCTAGATAACAGGTGGACAGAATTACCAATTGCGGAAGTAATCCTGTTAGTTGATCTGTAGCTGCGTGTGATTCATTATGTGATTCATTATTACTTATTATTGATTATTATTATTGAGTTATTAGACAGCAGAAGGTGGTTTTATTGACACTTGTTTACATAGCCACACTGCTTATCAAGACACGTAGGTAACACGATGTCAGGTTGTGTGGCTGGGTCTGGCTAAAGTTCACGACACAGCTGACACACCCACAACATCACACACACGTGACACACACACTGACACACACTGACACAACACACACGACACACAGCTGACAGCACACACACACACATAGCACTGACACACACACTGACACCACTGACACACACTGACACACACACGACACTGACACAGCACGCACAGCTGACACACACTTACACACACACACCTGACACACACACACTACTGACACACACACACACGACTGACACACACACACACCAACAACACTGACACACACACCACACTTGACATCTACACGACACACTGACACACACACACACACACACACTGGACACACACAACACACACTGTTACAGGAGGCTTCCTGCCTACCCACTTTCCCCTGTGTTGGAATACATTTGCATGTCCACATCGCCTGCTGCTGGCTGATTGCTGAAGTTGGTTGAAATGTGAAGTCGACCATTTGCATACAGGGTTGTTTCATTGACGCCACTTGTACAGCTATCAGGCTTCGACACACGGGATCAAAACCTGGCCCGTATTGATATCAGTCACAGGATAACTGCGGACATGAGTTGATTGTTATAGTTGCAAACTATCAATATTCCGACACACTTGATTTCCTTTGAGACGACGCGTCTGAGAACGTGTTGGAAATACACCTTTATGTAGGCATATTACTGGCTGATGTTTGTTTGGACTATTATAAATACAGTTATAATATACAGTTTATCTGTATAGACTATAACTGATTTTTATATAC